TAAAAGCAACTAAAGACCAGCTAAAAGCTAAAAGTAACTAAAGACCAGCTAAAAGCTAAAAGAATCTCAAGACCAGTTAAAAGCTAAAAGTAAATTAAGACCAGCTAAAAGATAAAAGAATCTAAAGACCAGCTAAAAGCTAAAAGTAACTAAAGACCAGCTAAAAGCTAAAAGTAACTAAAGACCAGCTAAAAGCTAAAAGAATCTCAAGACCAGTTAAAAGCTAAAAGTAAATTAAGACCAGCTAAAAGATAAAAGAATCTAAAGACCAGCTAAAAGCTAAAAGTAACTAAAGACCAGCTAAAAGCTAAAAGTAACTAAAGACCAGCTAAAAGCTAAAAGTAACTAAAGACCAGCTAAAACGTAAAAGCAACTAAAGACCAGCTAAAAGATAAAAGAATCAAAAACTGGCTAAAATCTTAAATTATAAAAGGCTAGCATAAAGTTTTCTGGTTGTTTTTCAAACATCCTTTCTGTCTGTATATCATCTGATGCTACTCTCTAGGCACAATAGAAATACCAGTTTTGCGTCACGGCAGCGACCTCTCCTCTCTGACCTCGGTGTGGTGCGCCACCAGACCCTCAGACCCCCCATCAGCTAGTCCAGGAGTCGACTACATCCCCAGTTCCAAGAAGGTGGAGTTCAAACCGGGGAAAACAGAAGAGGTACGAAAACACAGATTTGTTAGTTTCCTTCTGTTCCTCTGGGCTGATCCTTCGGCTTGTTTCAGACGTTTCTTCTTTCTTTCTTTCGTTCCCAGACGTGCAGTCTGACCATCGTGGACGACATCCAGAACCCGACCATCGAAGGATCCGAGTCTTTTGTCATCTTCCTCAGTTCTCCTCAGGGCGCCGTCCTGCAGGAACCCTACGAAGCCAACGTGGTCATCAGCGACACCTTTCAGGACAGTGAGTACCCAGAACTAAAGTCAGTTCTGTTCATCTCAGACCAACAAACAAACAAACACAAGTTGTATAAAATAAACCAGTTTCAGCTGTTAAAAACAGCCGTCTTCATCAGTTCCCAGCATGCAGTTTGAGAAGAGCTCCTACACGGTGAAGGAGAGAGACAGCGTCCTCCACGTCCCCATCCTCCGGACCGGAGACCTGTCCTTCAAGTCGTCGGTGCGGTGCTTCACTCGAACCATGTCCGCCATGGTGATGGACGACTTCGAGGAGAGGCGGAACACGGACGAGTCTCGCATCACTTTCCTGAAAGGAGAGAAGGTGAACCGTCAAGCCGAAGCTGGAGGAAGCTAAACGCTGGTCATTTTGGATCTTTGAGTTGTTTCGATGGTTTTCCAGGTGAAAAACTGCACGGTCCACGTCAACGACGACTCTGTTTATGAGCCTGAGGAGGAATTCCAGGTGCATCTTGGTACGCCGCTTGGCGACCACTGGAGCGGTGCCATGGTCGGAGTTAATGACATCGTCACCATCACCATCACTAATGATGAAGATGGTAAGCAGGGCCCAAGTATGGCGACCGGGGGCGAAGTCGGGTGTCGGGTGTCACCCCCAAATGACTGACAAGTTAGGGGATTGTAATGTGGCGTTACAAGAATGGGCAGTAAAAGGAGTAAATATCTGTCAAGCAGCTCTCTTGTCTGGTGTAGAGGGAATCTATCAGCGTGATGAAGAACAAAAATTACTTTTCTGAACCACTGAATTACAAAAACATATGTGCGATACTTCTGGGTTTAAAAACTGTGTGACATCCAGTGGCCAGACTAACAGCAATAACATGGAGCAACTAGAAAAGTTCCTTCAGAAACCTTGACGGGTACGGCCATGTAACCGCCATTTTAAATTTAAGATTTATCGTATTATATGTCAGCTCCCACCACACCAAATCTCAGCTCGTCTATAACAATAGCTGAGCTATAGACATTTAATTTTGCATTTGCTTTCGGTATTTATTAATGATTATTGTTGGGTATTGTTATACCAGTTATCAGCTTTATGTGCCATAAATTGGCTGAAATGCATCTTTCTATGAAATTAGCATTAGCTCTTAGATTAGCTTAGATTACCACCACACCAAATTTCAGCTAATTATTTCTAAAAATGTCTGAATTGCAGCTATTTGAAATTAGCTTTATCTTCTTGGATTTTGTATTTGAATTCAGACTACTACTACTACTACTACTACTACTGCACTACTACTACTACTACTACTACTACTACTACTACTGCACTACTACTACTACTACTACTACTACTACTACTACTGCACTACTACTACTACGACTACTACTACTATACTACTACTACTACTATTGCACTACTACTACTACTACTACTACTACTACTACTACTACTACTACTACTACTACTACTGCACTACTACTACTACTACTGCACTACTACTAAACTACTACTACTACTATTTCTTCTACTACTACTACACTACTACTACTACACTAGTACTACTACTACACCAGTTTTCAGCTGTGTATGTTTCAAAATAGCTAAATTATAGCACTTTGTAAAATTAGCATTAGCGGTTGGCTAAGTTGGGATTAGCAGTCAGTATGACAGGCTACTACTTCCTATTGCTTGTCTAAAAATGGCTGAGTTATAGCTCTTTCTAAAAGCATTAGCGGTTAGCTTAAATTGTGACTAGCGTTTATGTGAGCTCATTCTTAGCCATGATCAAAGTTTCAGCACAGCGCCTCTTAAAAAACTGGTTTATAGCCATTTGAATTAATCGGTGGTGGCCATCTTGAATTTTTGAAATTAAGAGTTATTTATATGTGCCACCTTAAAAAACACCTCGGCCACCCCTTGTAAAAATGTCTAGCTCCGCCCCTGAAGGCGACAGATTTACAGCCGATTATTGACCTCTGGTCTTTGGCTGCAGCTCCTACGATCGAGTTCGAGCAGGCGTCCTATCAGGTCAGAGAGCCCCCCGGTCCAGATGGCGTCGAAGCGCTCAACATCAAAGTGATCCGCCGGGGAGATCTGGACCGGACGTCCAAGATCCGCTGCAGTACCCGGGACGGATCGGCCCAGTCCGGAGTCGACTACAACCCCAAGAGCCGAGTCCTCAAGTTCACCCCTGGTTAGTGCAGAGCGGCCTTTCTGTGGCAAATCTATTTTGAAAAAATTTATTTAAATGACTTGTAAATATTAAACTTTATTATATTTCAAAGGAATGGACCACATCCTGTTCAAAGTGGAGATTTTATCGAACGAGGACAGGGAGTGGCACGAATCCTTCTCCCTGGTTCTCGGTCCTGACGACCCTGTGGAGGCGGTGCTCGGGGAGATCACCATGACCACCGTGACCATTCTGGACCAGGAGGCTGCAGGCAGTCTCATCCTCCCGGCCCCGCCCATCGTAAGTAGTAGTTTCACCTCGAACGGCATCGTTTCAGTGTTTATTTCATGATTGTTCTGTCTCCAGGTGGTCTCGCTGGCCGACTACGACCACGTCCAGGAAGTGACTAAAGAGGGCAGCAAGAAGACCCCCTCCCCAGGCTACCCTCTGGTCTGCGTCACCCCCTGCGACCCCCACTACCCCAAGTACTCTGTGATGAAGGAGCACTGCGAGGAGGCCGGAATCAACCAGACCCAAGTCCACTTCTCCTGGGAGGTGGCGGCGCCCACCGACTCCAACGGCGCCCGGTCCCCCTTTGAGACCGTGACGGACACCACCCCCTACACCAGTGTCAACCACATGGTGAGACGTGGAGATTTACCTGAGGCTTATTTTTTACTCCGCATGTCTCACTAAAAGAACGGTGAACCCAGAGCTTTCAGTTTTTGGTTTACAAATATCAGAAAACTTGATTTATGGTCAGATTTTAATGTTCGTTTTCACTTTTTCCACACTCTTAGCTCCAGTGGTGTGTTTGATAAACGTGGTCAGAAACTTTTATTGAAAATGAAAAAAACAAAACAAAAAAAATCTTTCATAAACCCAGAGGTGGCTACATTTCAGTGGAAATAGCTTCTCGTTTTAGCGAATTAGCTTTTTTGCTAACTTTGGAAACCGTTAGCAGACCCATTAGCTTCCGTTAATTTTAAGTCCGGTAAAAATTCACAAGTATAAAACTTCTATTTTTATGCCGTTTATCCTCAATTAAATAAGAGAAAGATAAAAACTAGTTTCTTTGAAGTTATACGGAAAAGTATAACGTGAATCTATATGAATTGTTGATTGAGTTGATATTTTTATTTAGTTATTTTTTTGTAAAAAAATTGTTTAAATATATTCTGGGTATAAATGGGGCATCCTTTCTTTTTATTTAAATTTTTGATTAGTGTATTTTCTTTGTTTTCTACTGTATATAGTTTTATTTTTTAATGAAATGAATATATTTCATTTTAAAAAACATAAAAGAATTTTCCAACTTACAAGCAGTTCTGGGCGTCGGGCACCATGTAGAATCTTTAGCAGCTGAACGTCAAACTAAGAGCATCAAAAATATAAAATATATTATATTTACCAATATTGAAATAATGAAACTGACTACAAATAAAATATAATAGAGAAAGTTTTCGACTAACTTCAGACAGTATTTATAAAAATACAAACTCAGTCAAAGCAATGCTTTTATTCTGAAAGGGAGAAACTGGAAGTATTGCACGTTAGATAGAGCTATAACTGGTTTGGATTGGCTTAATTACCACAAATTAAACCGATAGAAAACCTAAACTGGGAGGAAACAACGCGTGACAGTCGACTTAGCAGTTAGCGTTAGCTTCCACTACAGTTAGCGTTAGCTTCCACTAATTTTTAGTCTTTAGTGTTAGCGGAGCTAAGATTCTTGTTTAGTGGATTAGTGGTTTGTGAACCAACTTTCTGATTTTCTGTCCCACCACTGTGTGAACTGGTCTTTCAGGTGCTGGACAGCATTTATTTCAGCCGTCGTTTCCACGTTCGCTGTGTGGCTCAGGCCCGGGACAAATCCGGTCACCCCGGGACGCCGCTGAGGAGCAACGTGGTGACCGTCGGCACCGAGGGCTCCATTTGCCACACGCCTGTTACCACCGGGACCGCCAGGGGCTTCCAGGCCCAGTCCTTCATCGCCACTCTGAGATACCTGGATGTCAAGCACAAGGAACACCCCAACCGGTGAGTGGTTATGGACGAACGGCTGCTGCATCGCGTTTTAATCAGTGTGAAGCCTTACAGCATTCCAGTAGCATCACTAGGCCTATTTTAGGGGGGCTGGAGCCCCCCTAAAATA